ATTTACTATGTTTTGTGGCTCTGAAATAGTCATGTTATTAACTTGTAAGATTGGAAGAGAAGGGAAGCATCTCTTACCCGATAGTGAGCGTACTAAATTCCTTATTTTGCTTAACGGTGTGCGATAGTTAAGCTGGGTGAGGAAAGATTTCCAAGAGGCTTTTTTGGTTTCTCGGATAATCTTTTTACACCTTGCTCTCTCTTTATTTCGGAGGATAAGTGTGATGTTGTTTCTATGGCGTAAGTATAAACGAAAAGCTCGTTTACGTTTTGCTATTGCACGAGCTACATCTTGCGACCACCATGGAACTCGTTTACGATTTGATGCTGGATTCGTCTTCGGGATGGATCCTTCTGCCGCTGTTAATATGGTATCTGTGAGAAATTTAATGCCTTGTTCTGGAGCCTGAAAATGTTCGTGATCTATTTCGCAGAAGTTCTGGAACTTTTCCCAATCAGCTTTCTTCAGATTCCAACGAGGAAGAGAGCGGGGAACAACGTCAGCATCAGAGGAGAATGTTGTTTGTAACTGAATTGGATAATGATCACTATGATGGATATCATTATCAATGGACCAATCAAATAAAACACTTATTTGTGAAGAGCATATGGATAGGTCGATCGCCGATTCGCTATTATGAGATAGCGAGAAGAATGTGTTTTGTCCCTTGTTGAGAAGAACGAGCTGGTGATCATCAATAAATCGTTCGACGATATCACCCCGCTCGTCTGCTATTAACGCGTCACGACCCCAAAGCGGGTTATGCGCGTTAAAATCACCAAGCAGGAGAAAGGGGTGTTTGAATTGCGAAATAAGGTTGGTGAGGTGCCTATGCAAAGTACTATTATCTGTGTCTGGTGGAATATAAATAGAGCAAACGTCGATGTTTCTTCCGTTCATTTTTATTGTACAAGCTACAGCTTGTAATGGAGTGTTCAGTATTACTTGATCATGAACATAATCATTACAAATGTATAAAGCGGTGCCACCGTGGCGCCGCTCACCATCAGTCTCATCGTATCGGTACAGAGAGTAGTTAAATAAAGAAAAGTTGTAGGGGTCTGTTGGAAGAAGCCAAGTTTCTTGCAAAGCAATAATGATGGGCGCTAGAAGTAAAAAGAACATTTTGCTTTCGGCCCAGTTTGAAACTAGGCCTCGGCAGTTCCACTGGAGTAGGCTGTTTATTGTGTTTCTAAGAGAGAGTATTTGTTAGACACACCACGACGGGGCGAAGCCCAACTTGACGCACGGTTGTGGCCCATTGCTACTCTGATAGGTGGACGTGATGTGCGTGTGCCTGTAGACTGTCGATCATCTCCTGGGGGCTGGGGGCGGGGTCCTTTCGAGCGCTGGACTTTTGTCCAGGCTGCCGTGGAGCGAGCAGCTCCGGCAGAGGGCTTGTTCTGCTGAGCGATCTCTGGTGAAGCCTCAGGCTGTGACTCGGGAGGAGAGGAAGGCATCGGGTCACCAAAAATGGTCTCCGTCGCGTCGCTGGTGTTTGTGGATGTGGTCGTCGACGCAGTCAAGGGCTTCAGACACTGCAGAGGGGGAAGTGCCGAGATCGGGTCCGTCTGCGTACTGCACGAAGTGGACTGAGTAGTGGCGGCCTTGGCATTAGACCGACCGGGAGCCGGGGTGGCAGCCTCTGCCTCAACGCGTCGGCGGGCGTCGGGATAAGAGCAGCCGGACTTAGCCTTGACTTCGCAGATTCGTTTTTTCCTTTTTCCACGTGGGGGCACTGTGAGGAGGAGACGGAGTGATCTGTGCTACCACAGCTCAAGCAAGAGACTGGCTTAGAACATTCGGAGTTCTCATGAGGGGACTCACCACATCTCTGACAGCGAGCAGCCTGACGACAAGTGGAGCTTCCATGTCCGAATCGTTGGCACTTGAAGCACCGGAGTGGATTTGGGATGAACACCCGGACATCTTTTTTGAGCCAACCAATGGCTATCTTTTCGGGCAGGGTCGTGGTTTCGAACGTGAGAACGAGCAGGCTGGTGTCCCGTCGCTGACCATCACGGAAGGTCGTGAGGCGTCGGATGTGAGACACACCCTCTCCCCTCAGCTCTGACAGGATCTCATCCTCGGACATGTGACGGAGTTCTGGAGCGAAAATCGTGCCTTTAGAAGAGTTGCGGGCCTGGTGGAGGGATACCGTTACGTCCTTGCCACAGAAAACTTTTGTCTTCAGGAGTGCCTTGGTGTCTCTCCGGTTGTGAGTTTTGATGACTAGCGTACCGTTCGCTGGGGCTTCAATGTCGGGGCCATGTTGTCCACAGATAGCAGCGATCTGCTTCTGAGGCCAGAAAACGTTGATCTTCCGGAAAGAGAAGTCACTATCGCTAGCCTTCACTACCAGATAAGAGCCGTCGAGAGACAAGTATGGTTCGAGTGGAGATCGATCGACAGAAGCACAGGCAGGTGCGTTGGCCAAGTTCGTGCGCGGGTCAGAGCTCCGGGAGTGGTCGGTGGACGGGCGAGGGTCATGGCTCCGGGCGAGGTCGGTAGACGAGCGAGGGTCAGAGTGCCGGGCGGGGTCAGAGGTCAGGTCAGCGGTCAGGGCGTGGTCAGTGGACGAGCGAGGGTCGGTACCGGGTAGATCAGTCGAAGGGTGGGTAGAGGAGGGAGGGTTGACGGTCTGGCGGGAGTCGGTATCCATGGCAGAGGGAGGAGTCGGATTCAGAGGGGAGTCAGAGTCGGAATCAGATAAGGAGTCGGATAGCGGGCGCTGACGGCGCCGCTTCCCCATCGTGGGGCAACTGGATGCGGTTGTGGGCAGTGAAGGAGAGTGGGTGGAACAACTGGTAAAAGGTTGGATGTGAGGGGTGGGGACGCGCGTAGGAGAGCTCTCAAAACAAACCCGTGAAATGCCAACTGCCGAAGCAAGTTAACGATCACCTTAGCCTGTGACAAATGTATATGTTACAGGCAATGTGTGGAATCAGGCATTCTATAGAATGCCTAGGCATTCTATAGAATGCCTGACCGACCAGGCATTCTATAGAATCCCTAGGTATTCTATAGAATGCCTGACCCACCAGGGATTCTATAGAATCCCTAGGCATTCTATAGAATGCCTGATTTTCAGGCATTCTATAGAATGCCTGGGAAATATACGTATCTTACCAACAAATGAGTGAAGGCTGTATAAGATTATGAGTGCGAACCGATATGCAACGTTATTATTTCTGCCAGGCTACCTTGCGGTCAGCTATGTTAAATGTTCATTCAGTCAATTTTTCATGTCAGGTATTCAATCTAACCTTATTAGGTCAAACTGTAGATCATCTTTTAGGCTTTCATTCGGAGAGTACTGAGTCTCGACGCTAGAAAGACGATGGTGTTGATGTCATTATCGGAAACGCATTTGGTCAAAATTCCGCGAAGAAAAAAGTTTGCAAAGCGTCCATTTTTGGAGGATTTGCCCCCCGGAAGACATAGCATCGATTTACGGCCAAACTGGAGAAAATGCAGTTTCGAGTCAAAAATGGCCAATGACCTAAAAATGGCTTAACTACATAGTTGTTTTAGATTTGGCATCCTTAGGAACATTGCCAAAGCATTACTGGAGTCCAATTTCATTATTTTGACGACCGTTCGAACACCGCAAGGCTCAGAAGTCAAGTTGGAAGGGGAGATCGAACAACACCTAATCCGGCTCTTGTTACGGCCGGGCCACCGCCCGGGCGTCGAATAATGAACCATTTATTCAGTTTATTCCCTGACATTGCAGTGTAGGTTAAGCTTAGCTGCCCATGTATATTTAGAGTAGTTACACGAAGTGCTTATGACGATGTAAGATGGTGCTTTTTTGTTATATTCCTCACCGTCATTTCTAGCATCAGAACAAACCCATCGTAATTTGTAAGCACTTTCGATTCTAGCTTACGGTTCACCCGCCCAGCCAACACTCCACTAGCCCTCCGAGGGTAACCGTTTGAGCGACTGGTTGGCCTGTCCCTTGCGCCGTGGCTCTCCCGTGCCAACGGGATTGGATCAGTTGCTGCTTGCGGCGCACCATTTGGTGGCTGGCATAGCCCAATTTCTCCCTCGCTTCCTCTCTTATATCTCATTGCCCTGAAATGGTTTCAGGCGACGATTGGCCTAATTCAACAAATAATTTTGGAGTGCTGTTTGGGACAATCAGAATACTTGGGCATTCTATAGAATGCCTGGGAGCTTAAGCCAGGCATTCTATAGAATGCCTAAGCAGTCAGGGATTCTATAGAATGCCTAGGGATTCTATAGAATGCCTGGTCGGTCAGGTATTCTATAGAATGCCTAGGCATTCTATAGAATACCTGATTCCACACATTGCCTGTAACATATATATTTGCTGGTCTTTTTTATACTGGCTCCAAATGGAGACGGAGTCTGTGCACCGCTCTCGCCGTCCGCAGCACACCAGGAGTAACCCGGCGTCACCTGTGCCGAGCACGAGATGAACTCCAGCACCATCTAGCGGCAGTCATCCGAAGCTCCCAGCCCGCCGTAGAACCCACTGATCCACAGCCCTCGTCACCGTGATGACCGAAATTAGTAAATTGCTATGAAATTAAACCGCATCCAGGAAGCCAATAATTGACACGGACACATGTACTTAGCCGTTTAGCGAATAACTTAGCTGTTTTTGAAGAGTTCAGACAGAACTTTCTAGATAAATGGTCATCAGTAGTGTACCTACATGTCTCCCATCGCACATGATCAGGCTAGTTCAAAAGTCAAACACTTTTAGGCGTTGAATTAAAAAATACGTTTTTTGAAGACCTGTGCACATATGATCTCCAGAACGTTGATTTGCATATCCAATAGAGGTTCGATAGCCCTGTATATGTGTCATCTCATACAAAGAGAGGGGTTCGTGGTTAAATGTTACAGCATGTAAACGTGTAGTGATAACGTTATTCCTAGTTTTCATGGTCTGGAAGATGTATAAAAACGGTTGTGTATCGAATAATGTATACAGTTCGCCAGACACCAGAACATCTGTATTTTCCAGATGACCTGAGGCGTATTGACGTCGCAGTTGGCGGTGAGCTGAGACACCGAGAGGGGTCTGCTTTTGAATTGAGCTAGGTAAGTTGTGTAGCAAGGGAATGGAAGGGAGGGGGGCGTGGTACGCACTGCTGCATCGTTGCGGTTCATCAACCACCGCAGTCCGCTGTCGTTCAGCTGGTTGTAGAAGAACAGAGCTATTTGCTGCTGTAATGAACTCGATAGTAGAGCTGGTAGAGCAGGGGAGCTTGAGAGTCTTGGAAAAGATCCCGAGAGAGATCTAGAGAGAGATCCAGGTAGTGATGAAGATGAGATCCTGAGATAGATGTATGGATCCACCTGGTAGGGATGTAGGTATCCAGATAGAGATCTTGAGATGTAAGTCTAGATCCACCTGAGAGAGAGAGAGAGATGTAGATCTCCACCTTGCGTACAAATACATCTGATGGAAGATGCTTTTTGATTTAGGCACTTGATGATTCTGTTCATTGTATAGACTATGATGCACGAGATGCTTCTTCACTGCTCGGATTAGGGATGACGGGATCCGATCAGCTGGGTTTGCGGCACAGATGGGCAGGTGAAGGACAGGGCATTCGAAGTCCCGATGACCACTGCCAAACTTATGGGTGGTAATTACATTGATTAATTGAATGTGATCATTCGTCCAGTCACCCATTCCTATATCTCTGGCCTCCCTATTACGAAAATTGCCCACTTAGTTCGTATTAGCGTTGCTAGTTTAATTGCCCTCGAGAATCATTAGCTTGACTGCCCAACCTGAGCTCTGCTTAACTCCTATCGGCCTTATCCTAAGATTTGTCCTTCATCATTCTTACGCTCATCCACACAAAGCATTTGCCCTCCATTCACTCGCCCCAATCGATTTAGCAGCCCCCGAAATTCCCTCCGATAGTGTTAGGTGTCTGGCTGACGACGATCTCCCCGGCGAGATAAATGTCTCTTTCCGAAATCCATATGCATGCTCCGCTAACCGGCGACAAAGATACTTATCGCAGGGCCGTCCAGAATAATTGCACAAATATCCACCCTACTAATTTATGGGATTCACTACACGTCCGATAGACTTATGGTACACACATACACGATTTATATCCGACTTATCTCTCTACCGGGAGAGATTACCTATGCCCTCTTCCGGTCCGCGTGTAACATTCCCGTTCACGACCCAGGGACCACAGTTCATATCCTGGAACTATCCTTAAACCATGGGATTTACTCTTCAAGGCCTTACGTGTCCTGGAGTACATTCTTCCCTCCCCTGAGGCTGTCCAGTACCGATCAAAGTACCTTTACGAAATAAGTATGAGGACTTATCCGGGACACTACGGCTCAACTTATCCGCCCTTTGGGTGACTCACCCCTGACCTTCGGCTTACTGCCTTTGGCATAACTTACTCTCCACTGCACTGTGCCAATCTTCCCCTTCCCCCTGCCGTAGAAACCTCTCACTGCCTTCTCACCCAGTGTTACCTAAGCGGGAAAATTAACAGTGGCCGGTACCACTGGCGGAAAACGTGCATATGCCCTGCGTACGTGACGGTGTGTCCCTCTTAACATTCCGGTCTGGACGTGGGTTTAGAGAAGTGCATCTGTGTCTCATACAGTCATGCTGGTAAACGTTACGCCATAGGAGACGGGCAAACAAGCCGTCTGTGCCTCACAATGCCCTGTGCCAATATTGGTGGAATAATTATTGGCGCTAACTCGCAAGAACACGAATAACAGAAACGCATTATTTATCCAAACCAAATCGTAATCTCAAGTCATAACTTCTGCTGCACACGTGAATCCAACCATCAGTTCTCGTATACAATCCTAGTAGACCTTGAACCGCTCTTGATTTAATCAGATGATCTAGAACCAATTAGTACGCACCGATCTGCCGTCTGGTTGTGATCCACCGTATCATAGTGAATTACTGAATGCTCAAACGGAAATGACTCCTTGAAACTCGTTCGATAGCTTCTGACGGGCTACTAGTTACCTATACAAATTATCTTTATAAAGTGCCAGAACATTGTCATAGGGGTCCCTAGCCTTTCATAGAAAATCTAATTTAAATCATCCTATTAGCAGTAACCAATGCACATCAAACGAACTGCAGTCCTAGATATCATATAGCATGTCATATTTAAAATTATGCATTAACTGTTTACGTTCTTATCCCGTTGCAACTTTCCACAACTAACCATGTTTCTATACGATGACCTTCACCTACCGCACGCGCCCCAATTACGGCTAACCCACTGCCCCTGTTGTGGCTGCTCCTCGCGCCCTCTGGCGGCTCAACGCCCGCGTCGGGGACGACGAATGCCACGGCCGCCGGCCGGCGCCGCGTCGACAGCGTCAGTCACAGTCACGCCGTTATGGGCGCGTCAACACTCGCGGTACAGTGCTCGTGCGTGTTTTCTCTTCTGGCCGGGTAGATTCACCGGATGTGTCAGTGAGTGTGAATCTGGTAAAATATCGCTGCAATATCTCCCCGTTCGACATCTCATCGGTTCCGTTCTACGTAAGTTTTCTTTAAATAACTTCTTTCCCCATTTAATCGTTTCCCAACAAAGATGATCTCTTCTAGTATTTATTCTACAGAAGCACAACGATCGGTACCTATATTAGTCGCATATTAGTTCTAACCACAAGCAATTCTACATCTACCTATTACTCGACATTTCGCAATTTCAATGACGCAAAGTACAAGGACCAGCTAAAGTCGCAAAAGTGTCAAACCGTCGACCTCAAACCACTACTCTCAACTCTGCACCTAAGTAACAGAAGAAATTCCGCCGTAAGCTCAAGCATTCGTATCTGTTGAAAATCATAACTCATAGCCATATTCGTAGATCGATCGCATGAATCAGTCGCCGCCTTAAAACATTATATTCCTATTTCACCGTATTCACCTGTTCTATAATTGATTTTGACTTCACAATTAATTCCTACAGTAATATCACCAATAATTTCGCAATGCAACTTTTAGTGAATTAAGCACGAATCTACACCATTAATTTCACAAACGAATTCCAACCTCAAATCGCACTTGACCACCGCCGATTATAATAAATCGAACGAACCAGTTTGACCAAAGACAATGACATATTCAATGTTGTCACGCATCCTGTCATCAATTTCAGCGTTCGTGACACTGAGCTGCTTATTCAAATTTTAGGATTTCGCTCACGGCCTAATCGTGAATTCCAACGGACAATAACGATTCGCTGGCGACTCTGACATGACCTCGAAATTCAGATCCTAATATGCTACTAGGGTGTCTGGACCAACAAGTTCAAAGTAATTTAAGTTTTCCAATTCCAATTGAGAGTGCATTTTATGGCAACCGAAAATGTTTGGCAGTCGTCACGGCACGGCAAGCTGGGCAGAGGGGGGGGGGGGGGTGGGCAAGGATCAGGGATTGAGCAGACTTTTCAACAACACTCACATTCTGGAGTTTCTCTGCGCTTCCGCTTCTCAGTGTGGTCACAAGCGTCGGCGGTTGTCCTCCGGCTCTGGTCGGTCGAACTGAAGAGGCTTCTCGCGGGTGACCCCGGACCGACGGCGGCCTCCAGATGGCGTCTCCGGCTCCGGCTGCAGACTGTGACTCTCGGCTGCTCGACTGTGATTCCCCCTCTGGTTGGGTGGCGCACCCTTTTATAGTTGGGGGGAGGGGTGACTGCCACGCCCTTGCGACGTCATCTTCCTCTGCCTTCTTCTGGTGGGTGGGGCTGTAAGATGGCGCCCTCTGTCCTGTTTAGTCACCTTGCTCCTCTGTGCCTGCAATTTTTGGCCGTCGAATCGTCTTGGTGTTGAGTGCTTTATCATTTTAATAATCGCTGGCATAAAACAATCCCCGAAAGGTTTGTGATTTTCGAGTTTTAATTTTGATTCTTCATTTTCATTTTATTCAAACTTTTGTTTCCTTCCGTTTCGTCTGCCGCCAACGCCCCTGTGACGTCACTCCTGCTCCGCCCACCGTACCGGGGCGTGGCCGTAACGCAGCGCCTTCTTCCTCTGCGGAGATCTCTGGAACTACAGGTCATTGCTTGCGGCTTGTTGTGGAGGTCACCTTCAAGGCGTTCTGCCGGGTCACTCACCCTGGGTTGTTGTACCCCGACAAAGGAGGCTGTGTGCTCCAGCCGGCATCCATCCTTTACACTGCTCCATGATTTGATGACGTATCTTGCTGATCCAGCGCTCCCAGCCGTTATCTGTCCTCGGCGTGGGTCCACGAGCTGTTGACAGTGTTACTGATCCAGCTGTTACTTGTTGGGATTCGAATCGTTCATCCTGCGGTAGCTGTCTCCAAAAGCGCGCGTCTTAATGGGAGTTTAACGGCTGCCCATAGCGAAGACCTCTGGAACTACTGCGTTTTTGCTTGCCATAGGATCTTCCTGGTTGTGCCATTCCCACCATGTGACTCAGCGCGGTGCAGCTGTTGTGGTACCTGACAGAGTACGTGACAAGTGACAGAGTACCTTAACGTGCTCGCTCGCCGCCGCCGCCGGCCGCGGTCCTGACGTAGCTTGTTGACTCAGCTGTGCCTCGACGGTTCGTACTGATGTAGGCGGCATCGTCTTCTCGCAGATGTGTCTACTGCGGCTATTCCCACGGACAGTGCTCGTTGCGGGAGATGGAGAAAAGTGATGTGTGGGGATGGTGGGCCTGGTGACTGGGGGGGGGGGGGGTGAATAATGAGAGGGGAGGGGAGCGCAGCAGTAGCGCTCCGCTCAGCTGTGCGTCACCCGGTAGCAGCGATGGGTGAGTGAATGGAGGGCTAGGCCTGTGACCGGACTGCGAGGGGGGGGAGACTGCCGGACCAAGCCGTGCCGAAAAGATTCTACGTTAAATGTTAAAGATGTAGCGTGCTACATCTTCAGTCCAAACAACCCTAGTTGCGTCCTCGCAACTCATACAAAAAAGTCACACCCCTTACTCATCTAAATCTACACAATCATGTTAAGTTCCGCAACGCCTACAAAATGACATCGTATACCTAGTACAGTACACACACGCACCTGTTGTTCCTCGTTCCCACCTCAGTTTGTCGCTCACCAGATCCG